CCCTAGCACTGCCAAAGCAGCGAGGAAAGCTGTACTCACACAGGCAAACGCCTGCTTGTTTCCAGCCCTTACTTGTGGGCTTTTCAGCTAAACCACTACCACCTGTGTCCCTGTGGAGTGGCTGTCAGAGGAGATGAAGCCCTCCCAGCTGGTCCCTGCATTGGGGGGACAAACCCTGAGCCACCTGGTCTCTGGGAGCACTGCTGACCAGCCCAGGTGCTGCCCAAGTACTCCCTGACCCAAAAAAAGGCCTTTCCTCCTGCCTTTATTTTTCACATGTAAAGCCACGAGCCACTACAAACAGTAGTCCTATTTAAAAACAAGAAGAACCAGAGCAGCAGGCAGATAAACGCTGGGCAGTTCACAACTTGACAGAGGGGTTGGTGACGGAAGCCACAAGATAGTGCCCACACAAGTCGTGCCATAAACTGGAGCACAAAAATGAACCGATTTCATATACTCCTCCTGCATGATTTTTACAAATAAATACTGACACAGTGGTGAGGTCAGCAAAACACAGCACAGCAATAAATGCCTGGAGAAAGCAAACAAATTCTTTTGAAATCTGCTTTATGGGTAGGAACAACATATCACTTAGCTAAAGCCTGAAGTTAAGAGGCTGTGTATAGCAGGATCTGTGCTTGAAGACTTGGACTGTGCCCTCCCTTTGAGGATCACTGCAGGTCAGGTAGGACACAGGACAGACAAAAGCACGAAGTTCACAGGAAGCCAGGATACAAGTGAGAGGGCTCGGGAGAGAGAAGGGGCAGGAAAGAGGAAACAGGCTGGTCGGGGCGGGGGGGGGGCAGGGAAGCAAGGAGGGAAGTGGGGAGCAGATAAAGAAGGTGGGAAAACCAGGGCTAAACAAAGAGAAAGGCAAAAAATGATAATTTAAGCTATTTTGTAAATGTGTAACAGCAAAACCTTATTTGAAAACCAAAAAAATTAAGAAAAAAAACCAGTTCAGTTATTCTTTGCAGGCATTCACTACAATTCGCCAGAATGCAAAAATATTCCCATACTTGGTGTGCAGTCAGTGTTTTCCTCTGCAATATTTAATCTCATTTATCAAGCTTCTTAGTACAAATTAAGTTACAAGGTGATCAATTAGATTGAAAACACAGCTTGTTTCATTGTTTTAATTTTGCACTGTAAGCATATTCACCCTAATTTAACAATTAGCTAACCAAAAACCATGAAGTGTTTATGTAGCTTGGCTTTTTGTCATTCAAATTCCTTTCCTGGATCATCTCAGATGCATCACCCAGCTCAGTAGTCCCAGCTACAATTTTAAAAGCCTGGCAGAAAATGCACACAGGAAAGGAAGAGAGGAACATGTGGAAACCACAATGCGGTATTGGGGTTTGAAAAAGGAAAGGAGGATTCCAGAAACCGTGGCTGTTTTCCAGATTAAGAGATAAACTGCCTAAGGGACTGCAGCCTGTTTTCTCCTAGGATGTGTTCTACGAGGACTGCAGAAGGCACAGCTTTACAAGGTTAGAAAAGAATGGATGGGCCATTTCTGAACCCAGAGGAAGCTGCAGCTGCTGTCTGTAGATTCAGAAGATTTTCCCATGACGTGGGGGATGTATCGAAGGCAGTGAGTGCAGAGGGAGTCCCTCAAGTGGGACATTGCTGCCTGATGGGAAAGAGGACAGAACTGGGTGGGGATTTCTTTTGTTTTGAGTTTTTTTAATTGCTGTTAGCTAGGATGAATTGCTCTTTTCTTTACAGAAAAAAAAAAAATGTTTCTTTTAATTTCTAGAAATATTTGGATACAATAGTTACCATCTTTTACTTAAGTTTAGATGCGCATATTCTGCAGTTAATGTCTTTCCATGCTCTGTTAGTTTTGGTCAAAAAAATGATTAGGGAAACTATACCTGGGAGCTGTTCTCCAGTTTTATGGAGGTGAAGGTTTGGGCATTTTATTGTTTGGGTTTTTTTCATTTGCTTGCTTTAAAACTTTTAATTTCTTTTCAGTAAAGTGCAGTTTGGAGTTATTTTCAGCAAAGTTCTTGGTTAGCTGAGGAAGTCAACGTTTCCTTACTACTACAAGGGAAGAGGTAAAGACGAGCCCCAGTGACACCAAGCGTGCACCTGCAGTCTGGCCAGAATAGGAGCAAATGTAAAAGGAGGCTCTCCCAACCCGCAAATGACCGAGCAGATGACAGAAAGCAGCAAGCAGCATGACAATGGCTGGGGCCAGAGGAGCACAGGTTCACCCCCTTGTCGAGTCCTTTAGAGGACATCCTGGGGGGAAGTGAGAGGAGGTAGCAGAATGACAGAAGTGGGGCAAAGCATGCTGCCAAGCATGGCCGAGGGCTGACAGATGAAGTATTATTAGACTTCACTTTTATGACAGACTTCAGTGTTTTAACACTTACACATGGTAATACGATCAGCATTTGTTTCCAGCTGCATTTAGGTGGAAGTGATCCAATGTGACTGTCAACCCTCCCTCTGTCCCCAAGCCCTCCTTGTCCATGCCCAGCAAGCCAGTGCCAGACACCTCCTCTCCAAAACACAATTTCTGCCTGTCTACGCAACGTGGTTTCTGGGATCACATACAGGATGTAGGACTAAACAAAATAGAAGTGCTTGGTCTTTTCATGAGATTTTTGATTTATATATAATATATCATATAAATAACTGACAGAGGTCCCATCAGTGCTCTGCCTGACTACAAGAAGGGAATAGCTGGATAATGTTATGAGCTCTAGTTATATGTTTGTAACTTTATCGGTCCAGAAAGGGAAGCAATAAAAACATGATTGCTGGCCAGCGAGGACAGGTTTTCATTAAAACAGCTTTGAATTAGTTCATTTGCTACTGTCCAACAACAATCAACTGGTGCATGGAAATTATTTTCCCTGAAGATACACTTTCTTATGACATTCAAGACAAAATTTGATTTGTAAAACTGAAGTTTGCAAAAATAATTCTCATCTACATATCAATAGCCTTTGCATTAACTTTATGAACACCCGATAGCGACATCTGAAGTGCCAGGGAATGGAGCTGAAATGTTCTCTTCCCCCACCCCCATAACCAAAGGCCCAGTTCTATATTCAAGTATAACATATCTCCAAGAAGCATACACTGAGAAATTCAGATTAATGGAAGGCTATACTTCAATTGATCTTGTGGTCAAAGGAATTATGCTGTATTTGCAGAGAGCATGAAAAGACTATCTGTTTTATATGTGGGTGTAAATTCAGCAGAATTTCATGTCTTAAATGACAGAGAAAGAGAGTCCGCTCAGCTGCTCACATAAATAGCCAGGAAGCAGAAAGATATAAACAGATGGTCTTGAGATTTTCCAATTACAAGCCTTTTTGGCAATATACAACTGGAGGAATTCCAAACATTTGTCACTTTTGACACTGCTTTGTGGTAAGTAATGGGATTTTGGTACTTACAAATTCTGAAACATGCTGCAATTTGAAGACCAAAACCAGCTATCTAAATAAAAATTATCACTCATGGAGTTAAAGTAATGTTTTAGAATAGGTACCAATCTAACAGAAGCATCTCAAAAGGCATATGTAAAACTATTTTTGATTTAATGCTTATTCATAGATTCACTAAGATTCTGCAGTAGAGACAGAAGATATAAGCAACTTCGAGCAGGCTGGGAACACTCATGCTGTTGCTGACACCGTAAAACTGAAGCCCATCATAAGGATAAGAGGCAAAATACTACACACAGCATCCCACAAGATTAAGAAATCCTCCATTCCTCAAGGGAGCATTACCTGTAAACTTTTGTCTTGGTTTGCAAGAGGACTGCAAACAAAGAAACTTCAAAATGTGCAGCCCTCCTTATGGTTGTTTATTTATTTATTTCTTTTAAAGAATTGCAATTCCTTCAGCATTCAGTGCTTAAGGATATCTTATTTCATCATTTCAGGTCCTATTCCTAGTAGGTTATTAAAAATGTATTAGCTAGCACCGAGGTGCACAAAAGGGGTATATATAGAATTGAGTGGGCACCTCATACAAGAGCTCAGAGCAGCGTGTGTACAGGTACATGCCTAAAACAAGAGCTAGCTTTAACATTGGGACAATCATAGCTTTTGGAGCTCTCAGATTTCTAAGTGCTCCCACATTTTGACCCACCACAGAAAATGGAAGTGACGGCTTGAGCTAATAATTTCATTAAGTAGTAATCACTGATACACAAATCTTACATTTTTGAAGTGGAAGAAACCTCCCCTCATTCCTGGGTTTTGAGGGAAGAAAGAAAGAAAAAAAAAAAGTAACTTACAGTACTTACTTTATATTATACCTGTACAAAAGTAAAGTGTCTCAGTACTCAAGGTTCTCATTTTACATTAGGTAAATTAACTACGCAATGACATGCTCAATTCCACAGCTATAGGTACCTCTACCTTCATATCAAACTGCACTACAGAACCTTATCAGACTCTGAAGAGAAATCCAGGTACAGAACCACATATTTTCCATGCTCACCAAGTTATTCTCTCAGATTATTCCAACGTGGAAATTGAAAGAGAGCTATACAAATTTTTGGGTCATGCAATAACAGCTAAAGAAAAGAGAGGGACAGAGTGTGCATTAATTTAATTCTGCATGATGGTGTGGAGGTTTCAATACCAAAATTTATTTCAGAATCTGAATTTTGGCTTGGGTTTCCAAATTATCCTATCCAGTGCAAAACAGTGAAGAATGAATTTTATATTTATTATGGCAATGATAAAACTAAAAATATGTATGAGAAGACACAGTACTTACCACTCAACAGAAACCAATACAGAGGAATCTTCCCCAAAAAAAAGAGGTAATGCTTTCTAGCACAACCCAAGCCATGGCTATAAATTCAAAAACTGCAGCCCATACAAACCAGAAATGGAAGGAGTAGCTAGGGTTCATTAGACTGGTTGGAAGCCACCCAAAATTAGGACTACTGTCCAATGATGTGAATCTTTTATATGAGAAACCTGCTTTCAAATCCAGAAAATAAAACCTGTGCTTACTTGTTGTTGGTGGGTCCTGTTGCCAAGACATCCGATTGCAATTTTGGGAAAAATCCTTGTTCATATTTCCCTTGACCAATCTTCATGTCAAGTAAGTGCGGGTGGATGGCTGTGTGATCAATCTTCATCAGCCGCTGCTCAATGGATTGGGCTGCAAGTTACAGTCACAGGTGAACAACTGCGTTAGCGAACCACCTGAAGACACGTGCCACAACTACAGAATCAGTCATGCTCTGATCCCTGAAAATGCTCTAAGAAGTTAAATAGTGACTTCAGACCCAGAAATCTGTCGCTTACAGAAGTGATGAAACATCTGCACTGTTACTTGGTTATTTTGCTTTTAGTTTCTTCACCCAACACAACTAGCATCAGCACAAGCAAGTTAGCTGTTAAGCAAGCAGGTCTTCACGGGACCCTGCAGATGGGTTATGAATCAGCAAGGGCAATGCAATCTTTCCCTGCAATTTAGTGTTTGGCTTTAACGCTCCTTCAGTAGAATGGAGACCCCTGAGGCCGGCTGCAACTCTCTGGGGGGTCAGGGACCTCACTGCCCCAGACACGTCACCGTGGGCAGACGCACAGGGGGGCAATACCCAATTTCTGCAAACATCTGGTACAGATCCTTCTCCTGAAATTAGATACACCAGCACTGGATGACAGGCCTTCAAAAAGAATAGCTAACCGCAGCAAAGCCTGAGCAGCATCAAGAAGATGAACAGATGCTGGGAAACAGGAGAGGCTACAGTGGGGAGGGCTCCCCGGGAATCTCAGCTCTGCTGAGACTAACGTGGTTCAGCCATTTGCTTCAAGGACATGAGGATTTAATCTCAAATCTCGAGCAGGATGAAAATGAAATCTGTCAACCTCTCAACATTGAGTCAGATGCACTGTGAAACAGAGAGGAAAGGATGTGTATGGAGGAAATCAGCATTTAATCAGCAACTTTAATATTCAACTCTATAGCCCAGCCATTCACAGGCAGGCTCATTCTTTTCAGCATATCACAACTAGTGAATAAATATGCGAAATGTGGAAGCTAAATCCATTTTCCATTTGTCAAGAACAACACATAACTCGTTTTCTATTTTATAAAACTGTGATGGGAAAGAAACTGTCATAAGATTTACATATATTATCATTAGAAACTCAGTAGCTTTTTTTTTCTCCTCTGAAAAAAAAAATTGCTTTGTATGGTTTTATTTTGTATAAAAGGACTGGGTAGTGTGGGGTCAGGGGGATTGAAGGGTTCTGAAAATAGTAGGTTAAACAAAGCTGGATTGGTGCTAGGGTCACATATATTGTGAATGGTAAATATATGAAGGAAAGTTTGTATTACTATCAGTCTGCTGCTTTTCACATGACAGAAAATGAGGTTCCGGTGCCACAATATCTACCAAAACTAGACGCTGTATAGACAGTCGACCTGCAAATTAGAATTGGTTTTAAATAGAAAAAATTATGCAGACACAGGATTTCTATTTCCAACACATTTGTAACAAGTAAAGTGCTCTGAAGGAATTAAACAAACAAACAAAAAAAAGAAATGTGTTTGCCCCAGTTCATTAATATGTATCCCAACAAATTTAGGAGTATAATTTCCCTGTGTTACTTGGAAATGAAATGACTTGCACAGTAAGAGAGTCGAGTATAATTTGAAAATGCATCCTGTGACTGTAATGGTAAAAAACCCAAATCTTCAGTAGACAGCATACTGTTCATTAACACTGAACATCATTGCTGGATCTACTAAATACGTCACACAGGACTAGGTCCCTGGTGTCCTCCACTGCTCTAACCAAATGGTATAAGGCAAAAAAAGGTCTTTTTATTGGAATGGGGAGACAAGGCCAGTGGAGCAGACACTAGGGCTTGCTCCTTGGTGTGGCTGGCGCTGGTCCCACCACCACAGTGAAGTAAAGCTCTCCTGGCAATGGAACAGGAGCTGCCTGAAGTGAGAAACGGGGAGCCCAGCTCTGTGGTTCGGTTTATGTCTATTAAAAGCACTAGCCTAGGAGAGCTCAAAGGGAAGGTAAAGGCTCCCGCTGTTTTTAGCATTTAAAAGTATGCTGAAGTTTTGGCCAAGAGAAAATAGGGACACTGCTGAGTCCTCCTCAGGTAGCTCCAGGGCTTCCTCACTGGCTGCAATGCTCAGATGACTGAGGACCTCTACTTCTTTGTGGCTGACATTGTACTTCTGAATATTTTACTAGCCCATCTGAACATACCTGCTTCTTTCAAAGTGCTGCATTTCTGATAGTTGGACGTCCGCAGTGCAGGGGCCCTTACATTATATAGCCTTATTTTCTCAATTCGGGAGTCAAAAACTCGCAGAAAAGGGTCCTTCTCTTCCCACTGGGAGATTATCTTATTGTCTATGAAGGTTGCAAACATCTGTGTTTCGATGAAGTGTGAAAGGAATGGGAGGTAAGGCTCGGGTTGGTCCGAAAGGAAGGAAGCCTGAAACACACAACAGCTCGTTAGTGCCACATTCCTGCCCAGCTTCGACACAATGAGCCGTCCTGCAGCAGAGAACCGATCCAGCAGCCAACAGGAAGGCTTGGACAAGGCTTCCCCACCATGAAAACACCTCTCAGAGAGGTATGAATCCATCTGTAAAGGGGTTTGGTTTGCGGGTCACCACTTGGGTCACGACCATGAGAAATGAGCAGTCGGGGAGGCTTCATGACAGCTACAGTAAAGGAAATATGGAGTTGCTGAAGTAGTGCCTGTGCTGCCAGCTTTTTCAAAGCAGCCTAGCAGCTGCCACCCACAGGAAGGAGCCCTGTGCAACCCATGGCAGACCACCACCACCACATGTGCCCGTTTGGGACCTCTGGTCTAAGCATCCCTGCCCGGGCCCAGGTCACTTACTAAGGTGCCCTGCGTTTCAAGGGGTGTAGAGTGCTCTCCAGCTAATGCTCTTTTGTGAGGTTAAGCAGGGCAATTAACCATGAATTTCCAATTTAAACTGAGGGTGTGCCTAAGTCTCTAACTGAGCTTTGAAAAGCCTAACCTTAACAGCCCATTTTATAGCAGCAGTAAGAGCAGATTGCCTAAACAACCCCCTCCTTTTGAATGCTGCACTGTTCAACGCCTGAATACAAAGAAGACCAATAAAAGGCATGGCAGCATTTTTTTGATCAAAAACTGACTCAGATCAATATTCAGCCTGTTCCTGACTGTTTATACCTCTGACTTCAAGAAAGACTTGTATCTGAAAAAGCTGATGGCTAAGAGCACTATCTACTTTGCAGACTCACTTGGAAATAATAACTGTGCAAGCTTCCCAGCATTTCTCATTCTTTTTGCCAGCCTACAGTCTCTTTATTTCCCCATTCCTAATCTAGGCTTCTTTTTCACTTTTGTGTACACACTACAATGGAGTCATAACAGTACTCTTCTGCCATAACAATGTGATAACCCCCTACTGAACAACATTAACAAAAAGTTCTACTGTGATATTAGGAAACAAGAAAGACTGAGTTCATTTTTTGACTCATGTGTTCACCTCTCCTCTCAGCAAAGAAAAAGGAAAGAAAGAAAGGTAAGAAAGGTCACTGCCCATTGCTACCCTTCCACCGAACCCACAGGAGAAGCCCCATCAGCTGGGCAGAAGCCTGCCAGCTCAGTTTGTACAAGCCAGGATGGCTCTGACCGGCTCAGTGGATCTGCATCAATTTACTTTGGCAGGCGACCTGGCCCTGTGTAATCAAAACGGACAAATCTCTCAGTCAGGCAGATGAAGAACGGCAGATTAAAAAGTACCTAGGCTATATATACACATAATACAGCTATTCTCCCCGCCTCCCAAAAGCACTTTCAGATGGAAAATGAATACACAGCTATCTTTACTTTGTCAAAGTTTTGCATTTGTTCCCTGTTTGTCAGCCACGACTCCATATCAGGGGCAGCCTGGATGACGAAAGCCTCGTAGTCTGCGAACATCTGCGTGAAGCGATTGGCGAAAACCTCGCGAAGCTGCACGTTCAGTTTGTAGTCCCTCAGCTCCACCTCCTCACATGGCAATTTCCCATCCTTCTCCACGAGGGGAGCCGTGATGGTCATTTTTTCCATTGTCACGCCCGTTCTCTTGGCGAGAGCTTGCAGGCGGGCAATCGTCTCGTTTCCTTTCAGCAGCTCATACATGTTGAGGGCATTGCCGGGGATGTTCCCATTCTTCTTGTCATTAACCAAGTCGCTAAGAACCAGGTTCTTGAGCTTGGTGGCACTGTCACTGCAGTGCAGGTTACCCTCTGGCGGGATCCCAAACTGCAGGAGAACCTCAGAGATTTCCTGGATAAACTCCAGCTTGTTGGGGAACTGGGGGAATTCCTCTGGCAGTTCAATGAAATGGTTATCGATGTCTACAAAACACAAGTTTGCCTGAAACACAAAGAAAAGTTTCAAAACAGACGCTCAGCACTAAATCAGCTCCTCTGCTTAGTAGCCCTATTTTCCCAGGGTGCTTCCAGACAAAAGGGCAAGAGCACACGTGCAGGAGGCTTAAGCTGTGTAAGACTTAGCACGTGACATATCAGACTTCAATAAAGCTGGGGGCCAAATGGATGGCAAAGCTTTTATGAATAAATAAAGACTCCTGCCCCTTGCTGTTCTCCTGGGACTCACAGATCCCAAACTTCCTGCTACAAAGATTTGATATCCCCTCCCAGACCAGTCAAGGACATACCAGCAAGCAGGATGTGCAGCACCACTTCCCAGCCCATGTAAAATACTATTCGTGTGAACTACCACATCTCAACGGCATATTTATTTTACCAGGATCCAACTGTAGGAAGCCTCTGTAGCTGTGCTACTGAGGAGCGAGATGTTCATTGAGAAAGAGGACGCTCCTATGAGCAAAGCTACGAAAGAGGGTCCCATGCAAATCTTCTGGGATCATGCCTGAACATAGCTTGTCCACTGGAGGTCAAGCCCTATCTCCCCACTCCCCCTTACCCCCTGTTTCCATGGAAGCTTTTAATCTTGGCAATTCCTCTGGCTGAGATTTAAACAGACTGCTCTTAGACAGCTTTGCTATGAATGGAGATGGATCTCAGCCCACAAGATTAAAGCTAAGTGAAGACATGAATCTAGCAGAGCAGATACTTTTACTAGGAGTGTGTCAACGGGGGGATGGAAGAACTCTACATAAAAATTAATTACATTGCAAATGCACCCTCAGGAATAATAGCAGAATGAAAAACAGTAATTGATCTTCTGAACTGCGGCTTACATCTGAAATTCACTGTCTGAGTGCACTCTGCTGAATAAAATCTTAAACCAGGTCAGATTCCCAAGGTGCTGAGCTCTGACAGGTTTTACCCTGCCATAAACCTGCAGAATGGGAGCTGCAGATACCCACAGCGTAGCAGGTCTTTGTTAGCCTCACTTGGCCATTAGCACACCTCCTCTGTCTTCTCCAAAGTACTTTTACTATTCTTTACTTCTTACCAAACACTGTAATCTTCAGACTATGTGAACAGGAAGGATTTATTTTCCTCCTTTTCTGAAAGGTTAATTTCCAGCAGGACAATACATTCCTCAGCAAACATAGTTATAATATATTGGATTTTTCAGGGACACGCTTGAGATTAATCAACTTTCACATAGATACTTTCAAGGGCATTAGGATTCATTTGGTAAAGCAGAAGTGTCCCCTCAGCTCAGTTTTTCATAATAAATTTGGACTGTACAAAGAAAAGCATTTCTTCATACAAAACCATTTGCTTTACTTAACTATACAGCTATTAAAGAGTTGTGGTATGTGTCAGTATGGTTCTTTAGCTCAGGGACTGTCTTCTTATCTACCAATATTTCATTTCAAAGGCTTTTTAATTTCAGCTCTGCATATCATTTACAACATTTGAAAAATGAGATCTGGATTCAGAAAACCCCCGGGGAATTGGTCTCACTTCTCTCTTCAAATACGTCTGATGATTAAAGTTAATGCAGAGAGATTAGTAACCTTGAGACAGCATGATGGCCAGTTGTTAGAATTTTTATCTCTAACAAACAAACGTTTTATATTTAGCCCAAGAGCTTGAAAGCTAGCCCCCAGCCCAGCCTGAACAATAAAGGAATGCCAAAGGGAACAGCATTTCACCATTGCTCGCATGTTGAAGGATTTTCTATTTTTTATTGTCTAGAGGAATTTAAGATTCAAGATCTTCCCTGCTCAGTACCCCTTCTTTCTTTCCTTTTCCCATGGTTACTGGACCTGTGGTGTTCATAGATGCTGTGCTGATGTTTTTTGCTCATTTGTTAAATACTGTAAAGTGTGTGTGTGGGGGGGATTCCACCCCACTATTACTCTTCCCTCACTGGCAATATTTAATTTGTTATTCCAGTCATACTGCAAGCCCATCACATTAAAATTTTAATTTAAGGAAAATGACAGCTTAATCTGCTAACTAAAAGCATATGACTAATAATTTTTAAAATCACAGTAATTATGTAATATTAGCATGGTTTTACTGGAAAGCATAGCTAGCTACCAGCTTCGCTCCCATGCCCGTGCAAATTTCATGACATTGGGCCACTGTAAGCACAAGCTAAGACTTGATTTGCACTGTGACCTGCCACCTAGGCTAAGAATCAGACACCTCTACCCTATGCTTAAAACAGACCTTCACTAAAAACTATATTATCCTTGCCCTGGGTTTATTTCTCCACTTACACATACAAACTCCCCTTCCTGCATATTCTCCTCTGCTGCTCTTCCCACCTGCCTTCTCAAGTAAGAGCACCTATTTGCAAACCATAGGACCTCCGCTCCCAGGAGAGGTCCCCACATGTTGCTGAGCACAGCAGTGCCACCGTCACGAGATATTACAGACATATAAGCGGTTATTCTTAGCGTTCCCACTGATTTTAAGAAGCAACTCAAGTTAAAATGCATGGCACGTTCAAGGGATGGGTCCAGTCACCATCTCAAAAGCAGACAGGCGAGCCATATCCCAAAGACTTGTCAGTATGGAGAGTGATCAGCAGCCAGAACAGAATGTGAAGCAGTTTTAATAATCTTTGTCAAATTCTGAGTAGAAAAATCTCGATTTCACTCTCTACCAACAGTGATTTTAACACCTAGCTTAGGAAGATGATTTTTCCTTCCCTTTTTTCTCCAGGGTTCTCCCTTCCCATTGCACAGGAGAACAGAAGATCTTCAGTCCAAAAGACTATAATTGGAATGAGTCAATATTCTAAAAGTATGCATGTATGTATGCCTCCAAGTGGTTCACAGGCATGGTATTAATGCAAACCTGGCTCCTCTGAGGCTAAGATGCTGGTCTAGTAACAGACCTCGACCCAGCCAGGAACACATGGGCTTACCCGCAGGTGGAAGGAGGCTGGCAGGACAGGGGCATGCTTTTCATCAGCAGCGGGGTGACAAGAACAGGTTTATACCATCTAGCAACTGCACCCGAGACCCAGTTTCATAAAAATCCTCTCCAAATGAAATGGTCTTTAGCTCTCTGTCAATAGGACTGTGACACTGACAAAGAGTAACAAAACCTGGTGAAGCGTGTGATGTAGGGA